TCCCTATCAATACCGACCCAAACCCGTCTCACCATATAACCACGTTCCGTTAAATTAAACATTATTTTGTTATTTTTCTTTTTAATAATACTTTATTTAAAATACATATAATTCGAGTCAATTTAAAACTTTGCTTTCAAATGGTTTCTATAATATATATATTTTTTTATTTTTATCTAGTTCCTCTATATTATAAACTTTTTTTAAGAATTTAACTATTATAAATACTTTAAACGTTTTATAAAAGTGAATGGTTTGTAATATGATGTAAGTTTGGGATATTAAAAGTGTAATATTATTTGGCTTGTATATGGTGAAATATTTATACGATTAAGTTTCATGTATTTACGTTAATATTCTAAAGTACAGTATTAACTATATTTAATTTAGGAATTAGAATGATTTCATAGTTAAGAATTAACATAGTATTATATCTAAAAATAACCAAGTTTTTGGATTTAATTGTACAATTATTTTCTCTATATAGTTTAAAATCTAATTTTGTTTAAATTGGTTTTTGCAACAAATACATTTTTTATGATAATTAATTAATATAGATTGTGTTGTATATGTGACTATGTGTGTTCATAATTTTTTTTCTTTTCATGCGTTATAACAAAAACAAACAAACAATAAAACACTTGAAGCCCACTAAACAATACGGAAGCCCAATTATTCCAAGAGAGCAAAACCCTTAATGAAAACAGATTTTGTGTTTATGATATTTTCTAACAGAAAAAAAGAAATAGGAAAAGACCAAAAAAAAAAACTTCGTCGTTTATCTGAGATAAAAAAAAAATACTCTGCAAAAGATAAAAATCGATTAGAGCTTCCATGTCTCGCCAATCCAATTCCAATCCGATTCTGTTAGTTACTCAGTCTGATTTTGTTTTCTGCGAGGATAATCCGTTCTACATGATGTGCGAAGAACATGCTCCGATTTGAATCAATTTTTTTTCACAATCCCTAGGTATGAGATTTCTATATCGTTACTGGTATTATAGATATTGAATTATTTGTTTAACAAAAAAAAAATTTGTTGTCTGTACACCTAAGATTGATATGTAAATATGATATTATTTTGCATCTCTTGAATCCGAATTAAGATTTTGATTGTGAAAACTATGGTTCAAGTTTGGTCATAAAGAGAGAAAAAACATAAACTTATAGCTTCTGTACATCTGTAAACGATGCAAAATATCACAAAGAAGAAAGTTTAGCTAACTAATAACTTTTGCTTTAAAGGATTGTATATGGAAGATGATTATAGTCAAGCTTTGGGAAACATTCACTACAGGAGATTATGGCTTGCGTGACGACGGCTTTGGAAGCTGCTTTGTTGCCATCTTTGCCCGCTAAAGAATTTCAAGACATCGACCGCCCTCCTCATCCTTCTCATCAAAGTCAGTCCCTCTTCTACTCTCAATCTTGAATTATTATCCTCTCCGTCCTGAGATTTCAATTTTGAGAACAACAATGACTGATTTAGGAAATGCCAATTTCATCTTCTAGGGTTTTGGTTTGTGTTTATTTTAAAATACTGTGAATAGTTATTAGTTTGAAGTTTTGTTTAGTGTAGAAAAGCAATGACTTATTGTGGTTTATATTGTTGCTTTATAAAAAAAGTATATAGCAAATCAAAAAATAATATAGATTTGATAATCCAAAGAATAGCATAGCTTCAAGAAAACACATAAAGATGGTTCTTGGATAGGATTTTGGATTCAGAATTGGTGTCGTAGTCTAGTTTCCATTACAATGACTGACCTACAGTTTAAAAATGACCCAGTTATAATACCACTAAAAAATAGGGTCTTCTGAAAATTATAATTGCAAAACGCATAAACCACTGATTTAGTAAACATACCTTTTAATAATAAGATGTGTTTATTCAACGTCTTTGTTCCCATACAATACATAGTGAATACCTATGTTTTGCTCTTTCTGTGTTTTTGTATTCATAAACTGAATCTCCATCATCTATGTAAGCTGATGAAAATATAAAGTGTTAGCTTTTCGTTATACCCAAGTATATTTATTTATAGATGATATTTTTTTTTTAGATAGTTTACCAAAAACGTTTGCAAAACAATTAACAATGGCTTTGGTATAATCCTCACCTGTACCTGAGGATGCAATGTCATGATCTGCATGAATCTTGAGTCTTGACACCCTGTTTTAGAAATGAAGTAGATTTGGGATTAGTTACTATTAATCACTGATGTATAGAAATATGTAAAATGAGGTTTGTCTGATTTTATGTTTTTTACCTGTGAATCAGCCAAGACTAATTCAAGGGTTTCATCAGTGTTGTTGGTATATTGGCGCCAAGAATGGAGAACCTTCACCTGAACACGCCAAAAAGTCTTGTATGGCCTAACATCCCTCAAAAGAGCAAATTGTGCAGCCATTCTTGCGGGTAAGAGTAGAGTGTTTTTTAGTTTTTGCAAATGAAAAATGAGAGAGACTGTGAATAGAATTGATGAGAATGAGCGCATATTTATATAGTTTGAAATGTTAGGATGCATTAGGTTTAGGTGAATATAAGAAAATCTTGAGGAGCAAATAGTGAATATATTGCGTGATATTAGGAATTAGAATAAAAGAGAATATGCTAGGTTGATAGGTAAGAAAATAAGTATAAAATCTTCTAGGTAGTATCTAGTTTCCAATTCGATAAGATGAGATTATGATTCAATGTTTTGATAGAAAATAATGATTAATTGAATAATTACTCTTGCGTTATAATAGGGAATTCAATTCTTAACTATAGCAATTGCGTATAACTATTGTTATAACTATTGATATTTTGTGGATCTTTTAATCGGATTGATAAGGGAAACTACTGCATATATGTCTTGAATGTAGGTGGTATCAAATAAGGGAGGATTAGTTTGTTTGATTTCGGCTTAATACTGAAATAAGGTAAGATCCGTTTAACCATATATATTCTCCATATCTTGAAATTATGCGAACTAAATACTTTTTGCCTTGATTGTAGGGAGTATCAATTAAGGAATGTTTTGTTTGAGAAAATCGGATCAAAAACACAAATAAGGTAAGATCCGGGAGACAAATTTGCGGGTCAAAAACATTAAACATCCGGGTCAAAATTAAAAAAAATCCGACCCGATTAGGGACCCCAAAAACTGTTGCAAAAATGTATAGTAGATTTAATACATATAAACCTATAATAGATGAAAATTAACTTTCTGAAAACCGAGAAGTAAGACTACCGAAAGAAGGGTTTTTTTTTTTTTTTTGGTTGTCGACTACCTTAACTAGGTTATAATTAGAGAGTCTGAGACTCCTATTAAAGAAGACCGACCCTGAAACTTTACGGAATTGTGCCCCTGAAAGGATTAACATTCAAGACCAACAACTAAAAAAAAAAAAAAAAAAAAAAAAAAAAAAAAAAAAAATACAAACAACTCACAACATATTATAACGAAAACTATTATTAAAACCTACCAAATTAAAAAAAAAAACCATTAATTAAAAGGCTAAAGAAAAAAACAAAACCTCACACGTGTACGTTAGGAACATGAAGTGCATCTCTTTTGTCGTCATGAACTGCATCTCTAAAGACAGAAAAAGTCAATATGTGACGACAAATAATCGTTTTTGCATTTTTAAAGTTTAATTTAATTTAGATAGATAATATCAAGAGGAAAACAACAGTTATTGCTGTAGAAAGCCTTCCTCATATTACAGCTACCCGAGAAAGACACTCCCAGGGGCGGCAATAACAAGAAGTATAGTTGAGATAAAGTTTTATATCTCCTTAAGGTTTTTTGATAGATAATGGCAAAATATAATGCTTATTTTAGAATAGATAGATATAGCTAATTAGAGTTCCAACGAATTTAAATGCGGAGACTTGGAGTAGTTGGTGGTGGTGCAAGTTATAAACAACATTATTGAGGAAATTCGATTCCTCTCCCATGCGTATGATTAAGTGGCCTAGTGGGTCAAAACCATAGGCCCAGTTTTTTTTAAAAGTTCGTCTTATTTAAAAGCAACCCAATCCGATATATTTTGACTTTTTTCTTAGGTGAAAAATTGAAGCTTATGAATTATTTATTAGAGATCATTTCACGATCTAGTAGTATTTGGAGTGGACCATGATTTGGAGGGAATTTACTTGTATCTTTAGTGGGTGTATTGACTTTATTTTAGTGGATTTAAATGGTCACGATAGGTATCTTCCAAAAGTGTTTTGACATGGTTAGTGTTTTAGGGATCACCCAACGAGGTAGGACTTACAATTTGATAGTACATATCGACTGTCACACTATTTATTTTTTTAAATGGCATTTTCGTGTTTAGATTCGGCGTCTTGAGACGTGGCTCTCCTTTGTCATGGGTAGGTATGCCAATGCGTAGCTCTAGTTTTTGGCCACAGAATCTTGTCATTGCCTTGTGCTTCAAACGATCAACACATTTTAAGTGCTTGGGGATTGGGGTTATCTGCATGACTATGGTTTTTAAATGCTATATTCGTTAGGATTTCGAGAGTGGATGGCCTTTTTGCGGGAAATTCTAGGAGAGTCACTATGGTACGCGTTAACAACATGTTGTGATTTTTGAAAATTTGAAAATTATCCCTAAAAGGTACAGACTTTTGGTTGTTTCAAATGTAACAATCATTGCATAAAAGAAATTTATAATACAACTCATGTCGTATCCAATCTTTTTTCATTCGAACTTGCGTATTTAATTTTGAGAAATGAACAAACATCTGTATCGTACGTAGAGATATGAACATCCTCATATTACCTAATAACTTTAGTGAAAAAAAAATATAACTTTAGTAAATATTCTTATTCCTTCCAATCACGCTTTTAATACATGCCAAATTATTACATAATCACCAACACTTCCAAAATGGAGAAAATAAATACAATATCAAATAATAAACTCACAACATACTTATTCATTTAGCAACAAGAGCTTCACTCATTATCTTCATCACTTGGCCTTGACTTCTTTGCCATCGCTCTGCGTCTTCTTAACCGGCGGGTTAAGCTCCTACGAACGCCTCATTCTTAACCGGCGGGTTAAGCTCCTCCCACGCCTCAATCCAAGTGACCATTGCATCTGCCAATTTCTCAAAGTAAGGATCCACTTTAGTAAGCTTTTCTTTTGTCATCTTCGAAATTTCCATATAGCATTTAGCTGCAGTGTCAGATTCTTTCGAGAGACAAAGGTTTTGGAAGAAAGGAACCATATCTTCTTGCCAGTGGAGTCCCTTATGCTCTTTCTTCAGGTTCACGAACGGGTTACTGGCTTTGCTGTGCCACAGATACGGCAACCCAGTCTTGACCCCAAAGCCTAACTGGTCACACACCACCTTGGCTGCCCAACCAGCCCACATGTCATCGTACCGAGAAATGGGCTGGCCTTCACCCATAAGGCCAAAGTACATAGCAGGCCCAACAAGCTCTCTATTGAAAGCAAGATTCATGCCACACATTGGGTACAATACTCCTTTTGGGATTGTCATCACTGCATCAACATACCTGCAAAGGCTATTATATTATAGCATTTATATGCATATTGAAAATACCAAAACAAATATCCTCCTAACAGTTTCTTGGAAAAAAACATTCATTGTATAAAAATAATTATTTGCTTTAATATCAACCACAAAATCCATGGAAAACCAATATCAAACAGAACTGAATGTTTTTTGAATATTGAATTGTTAAAATATGTTTAGACTTGAATAATGAATAAAAGGAATCACAAGTTGAATAAATCTAAATCCTCTGATAATTAGTATGCAAACTATATTATAACCTCGTGTTCCGTTCCCGGGGCTTCACGAGTTGGGTTGGAGCATCGTAATCAGGGATGTTGAGCCAAAGCCCATGAGATATGGCAGTTTGGACACCTTCTGATGCAGCGCATCTCTTACTCCTTTTGGGCCGCACAGCCCCGTTGCTTGGGCCTCACGTTTTGGTGTTTTCAAAGTATCGAGTCGGTTTGTGTTTTGTTATCTTATCAAGATTTAGCTAACTCCAAATCTTTGTTAAGATTAGTTTTCAGAGTTTTATTAGGATTTGACGTTATCGTTTAAGTTGTATAAATAACGTCTTAGGTGAGTCTTTGTTCTGCATTTTTTACATTGAGATTAATAAGAATATCGTTTGGTTTTAAAGAGCTTTGATTCCAAGGCCCTGCAAGGAGGACTTGCACAAACTGTTGATTTCGTTTCTCTGAACGATCTCAGCTTTATTTCTCACTTCCCGTTCCTTTTACCACCACCGTCTCTGTTCTTTCTTCTTCCTCTGTTTTATTTCCCCAAAACAGAGTCTCTCTTCTTCTTCGCGTAGCTTCCGCCCGTATCAGTTGGTATCAGATTCTTGCCTTTCCTGGATTAGAGTTTGTATCACCGATGGCTCCACCTAATGAAATCGCCGGCGAACAGAAACCAGACCCGACCATTAATTGGATTGAGTTCCGTGACACTCTCCTCGCCTCTCAAGCAGCAATGCAAAATTCAATTCGTGAATTGAGTCAGACTTTGATCCAACATCTTGGTGCTGCAAATCCCCGACCCGTAGCAGTGGCCGCAGCGCATCGTCGTCAACAGGCTCCGCCGCCAGCAGCCGACGATAATCAACAACACGACCAACAGCTCAACCCGTTAGCCATTGCCAATCCATATCAACAGGAGGTTTTGCCGTTCAGACCACACGACCATCGCCAGCAAGACACACGATGGGAAGCCGGCTTTAAGGTAGAAATTCCAGAATTCCATGGTGGAATTAAAGGAGATTCCCTCATCGATTGGCTCGTGACAGTAGAAGATACATTGAACTATAAACGACTCCCTGATGATCGCCGAATTCCCTTAGTAGCTACTCGTTTCCGTGGTCAAGCCGCGTCATGGTGGCAGCAGCTCAAAACATCACAGGCGCGTTCTGGCAAGGATCCGATTCGCTCTTGGGAACAATTGAAGAAAAAGCTAAAAGCAACATTTCTTCCTCACAATTATGACAGAACCATGTACACGCGTCTCCAAAATCTCAAGCAAGGATCACGCTCAGTTAACGAGTATGCAGAGGAGTTTTACCTGCTCTTAACCCGCAACGAACTCTATGACAGTCAAGTACAACTGGTCTCAAGGTTCATCGGAGGATTGCGTGCTCAAATTCAGAATTCTATGTCTCAATTTGACCCAGCAACAGTAGCTGAAGCTCATCAACGAGCTTCCTCATTTGAACATCAGTTCCGTGTCTCACCTTGGAATCAGAGTTCCACACGGTCTCGCAACCCAGAACAGTCCAACCTACAAACCACGCAGCCAGCACGAGACAGTCCCGAGACTTCTACGACAACAACGCGAGGAACAAATCAAGACGGCGAACAAGGACTGCGTCGTTCTGCTCGTGGTACCAGCTCATTACGGTGCTACGCTTGTGGAGAAAATGGTCACCGCCAAAACGCATGCCCCAACCAAAAACAGCGGGGTTTACTAGTAGATGAGGTGCAGGAAGACGATGCAACGGATGACGAATTAGGAGATGATGAGGAGTCCCAAAACTCAGAGATCCGCAAAACTCCGGGTGATACGGGTCATACTTTAGTGAGTTACACCACGTGTTTAACACCGGAGCAAAGGGAAAAGCATTGGCTGCGCACCAACATATTTCGCTCCACTTGCACCATCAAAGACCGCATTTGCACGTTTGTCATCGACTAGGGAAGCAGCCATAATCTCATCTCAGAATCAGCGGTACATAAGTTGGGACTGGAAATTGAAAAACACCCCTCTCCTTATGCGCTCACATGGTTTCAAGATGGAGTAGCAGTACGGGTCTCACATAGATCCTATGTCCCTTTCTCAGTGGGAGCATTCTACAAGGACAGAATGTACTTTGACTTAGCCCCATTGGATGTTTGTCACCTTATCTTTGGACGACCATGGGAGTATGACCGCAAAATTATGCACGACGGGGTGAAAAACACATATCAGTTCATTTGGGAGACACACCAAATTTTGCTCTTACCGTCGCCGGACTGGCCGCTACCACCGCCGTCAGCTACCAAACCCCCTCCGCAACACAAGACTTCTACGCTTTGCTCACAAGCAGTGTTTGAAAAGGAGTTTAAAATGGAAGGATTCGCTCTTGCCCTGCTCACACCGGCTTCACCAACGGCATCGCAAGTAATTTCACTGGAGTGGAGTTCAATAGTTAATGAATTTGCGGACATTTTTCCTGAAGAGCTCCCACAAAGTTTACCACCGCTGCGAGACATTCAACACCACATTGACCTCACCCCTGGAGCAACACTTCCTAATCGCCCTCACTATCGCATGAGCCCGCAAGAACATGAGGAACTACGTAGGCAAGTCGAAGATCTCTTGCGAAAAGGCCATATTCGCGAAAGCTTAAGTCCATGTGCGGTACCAGCCCTCCTTATTCCAAAAAAAGACGGCACTTGGTGGATATGTGTCGATAGTCGCGCTATTAACAAGATCACTGTACGGTACCGATTTCCTATCCCGAGACTAGATGATCTACTTGACCAGATTGGCAAAGCAACTTTGTTTACCAAGCTTGACCTCAAGAGCGGCTACCATCAAATTCGTATACGTCCTGGAGATGAGTGGAAGACGGCGTTCAAAACCCGGGAAGGGCTATTCGAATGGTTAGTAATGCCGTTTGGCCTATCCAATGCTCCGAGCACATTTATGCGGGTGATGAATCAAGCACTCTGTCCGTTTATCGGTAAATTTGTGGTTGTCTATTTTGATGACATCCTTATCTTCAGCTCCTCTTTAGACGACCACATTTCTCATCTCCGAAAAGTTCTCACCATCCTACGAGAAGAACAATTGTTCGCTGCCCGCCAAAAGTGTGTGTTTGGATCTACGGAGGTGCAGTTTCTGGGATACATAGTTTCCGATAAGGGACTGTCAGTTGACAATGCCAAAATAGAAGCCATACGCTCATGGCCACTACCACGCACTGTCACGGAAGTTCGCAGCTTCCACGGCCTGGCCTCTTTTTATCGGCGGTTTGTACATCACTTTAGCAGTATCATGGCACCAATCACAAGTTGCATGACCAAGGGTAAATTTGAGTGGACACCGGAGGCTACTACAGCGTTTGAGCTGATCAAAACAAAGCTTACCACAGCACCCATTCTCGTGTTACCAGACTTCTCGGTCATGTTTGAACTACATTGTGATGCTTCCAAGTTAGGCATTGGTGCGGTGCTTAGTCAACAAGGCCGTCCGGTCGCCTATTACAGTGAAAAATTAAGCGGTGCACGCAGACGTTATAGCACGTACGACGTCGAATTCTATGCGATAGTACAAGCCATCAAGCACTGGCGTCATTACTTGGTCCATCGCGACTTTGTCCTTTTCACGGACCATGATGCCTTACGTCACATTGATAGACAAGCCAAAGTTTCCACAAGACATGCTGCCTGGATCGCTTATCTCCAGCAGTTCACGTTTTCGATTAAACACAAGGCGGGAACGCTTAACCGGGTTGCCGATGCCTTGAGCCACCGCCATACATTGTTAGCCTCGACATACACGATGGTCCCTGGTTTCGCGTCCTTTGCTGACTTATATGAGTTGGATGTCTACTTTGCAAAAGTTTTCAAGGACACAGAACAAGGTCTTCTCCCCGATTTCTCCATTCAAGACGGCTTTCTATTCAAGGGACTACGTCTTTGTGTGCCGTCTTGCAGTTTACGGCAATTTATTAGAGAGCTTCACAATGAAGGCCATTTAGGGCGAGACCGCACGTTACAACTTCTCACTGCCTCCTATTTTTGGCCCTCTTTGCGCAGGGATGTGGAAAGATTCGTGGAACGTTGTCGCGTTTGTCAACAAGCTAAAGGAAAGGCGTCCAATGCGGGTCTTTATCTTCCCTTACCAGTACCTACACAACCATGGACTGACTTGAGCATGGATTTCGTCTTAGGCCTGCCCCGCACTCAACGTGGGCATGACTCCATTTTTGTGGTCGTCGATCGTTTTTCGAAGATGGCGCACTTTATCCCTTGCAAGAAAACTACCGATGTTGTGAGTGTCGCTACTCTTTTTTTCCGAGAAATCTACCGGTTACATGGACTGCCGCTATCCATCGTCTCCGATCGAGACACCCGGTTCTTAAGTCACTTTTGGAGGTCTCTTTGGAAGTTACTTCGCACCAGTTTAGATATGAGTTCCGCCTACCACCCGCAAAGTGATGGACAGACCGAAGTCACGAATTGAGCTCTTGGTGATTTATTACGATGCTTGGTAGGTGACAACATCAAGAGCTGGGATTTAAAGCTTTGTCAAGCGGAATTTGCCCACAATCACGCATCTAATCGTAGCTCCGGCTTCTCACCATTTCGTGTCGTCTATGGATTGATTCCTCGCTGTCCTCTTGACTTAACAACACTACCGGACAAGACACGTCTCCATGGCCAAGCAGTTGATTTTGTGGAGAATTTACAAGACATTCATCGACAAGCCAAGCTAAATTTAGAAGCCGCAACGTTAAAGTACAAGATAGCAGCTGATTCTAAACGCCGAGAACTGATCTTTGAACCAGGTGATTTGGTTTGGGTAGTCTTGACCAAGGATCGTTTACCACTGCGGGAATACAATAAGCTGAAATCTCGCAAGATTGGACCTGTTGAAGTTGTGGAACGCATTAATGCTAATGCCTATCGTCTCCGTTTTCCCTCCCATATGCGGACTTCTGATGTTTTCAATGTAAAGCATTTATCGTTGTTTCGTCGAGACAATGAGGATGTGGATTCGGGGTCGAATCCTCTCTCACCCGGGGGGACCTGATGCAGCGCATCTCTTACTCCTTTTGGGCCGCACAGCCCCGTTGCTTGGGCCTCACGTTTTGGTGTTTTCAAAGTATCGAGTCGGTTTGTGTTTTGTTATCTTATCAAGATTTAGCTAACTCCAAATCTTTGTTAAGATTAGTTTTCAGAGTTTTATTAGGATTTGACGTTATCGTTTAAGTTGTATAAATAACGTCTTAGGTGAGTCTTTGTTCTGCAGTTTTTACATTGAGATTAATAAGAATATCGTTTGGTTTTAAAGAGCTTTGATTCCAAGGCCCTGCAAGGAGGACTTGCACAAACTGTTGATTTCGTTTCTCTGAACGATCTCAGCTTTATTTCTCACTTCCCGTTCCTTTTACCACCACCGTCTCTGTTCTTTCTTCTTCCTCTGTTTTATTTCCCCAAAACAGAGTCTCTCTTCTTCTTCGCGTAGCTTCCGCCCATATCACCTTCCCTTAAACTGAAAGGATACCCTCTGACGAAATCAGTTCCTTCTCTAAAAGGGTCATAGAGAGTGTTAAAGTAGTGTGGTGTTGAAGGTGTTTCAAGGTTCCTTATGTGCTGAGCTATCACATTGATCTCTTTCCCACTTGGATCCTTTGCCACCTTTTTTTACGTTTTCAAGAAAAAAATGCATGGAGTTGCATGAATTATACATGAAAACGTGTTAAGGAGAGTAATGCAAAAGAGCCTTACAAAGCAGTCATCATCAATGGTGTAGATATACTTCTTTTTCGAAACCATGAAGCCGAAGCAACGACAACCACCATCTTTGTATGAGATACAATTAGCTCTAGGACCAAGGATCCTGTTGATATCATTACGGTTGTAGAGCTCGTAGTCATAACCCTCGGGAACTTTAATCTTGATCGAAGGGTCTCCATCTTGGACAATGATCAAGTGGTAATGCTGCAAAAATGGTCTCCATTGTTCTAGAAAGTCGAGGCTTCTGATGGTTGGGATCACAATATCCACATCGTCCTTCAAAGGTGCCGCTTCGATACCTTTGAGGTTGTAGCCCGCCATTTTTTGGTACTTAGAGAGTTAAATAGATGTGTATAAGATGATTGTTTTCGAGGGGGATGACTTGGGATTTATATAACGGTTCTCAAACTCCTTCATTAATTTCGTTAAAGAAATGAAAGGATCAACTAGATTTTCTTCATATCGTAGTTGTTAGAATATTGCGATCACTAGGAATTATATAGGTTAACTTTCGTAATCGACTAGTGAAAGACTCTCATTTCAAATGCTCTATTTTATAAAAAGAATCCCACTTTTTGTCCCATTGCTTAAAAAGCGTAGATGTTTATACTGAACATATAAGACTTTTGAGTATACAAATTAACCATTAACCAAAAACAATAGGCATCCACTACCTAACTTCCTAATTAGTAGTTTATACGAAACATTCTTTCGATAAACCAACAAAAGAATTATTGTACCTTTACTAGTTAATAAAAGAAAAAATAAAGATATTTAGATACTAGCTACTTTGGAATTTCATGATTTAGTGGAACAACAATAGCTTGATGGACCAGTCAATTGATTCGTTGAACGATTGTTGAACAACTGGTTCATCATGTCATATGTTTGCAATTACTTTTGACACTAGAGAGAAGAAATCTTCTTGTAAATTGATCTATAGACATCTCACATATTTGTTTGCATCCGTTTTCAGTCAGTTTTATGTCTCTTTTTGTAATGAAAATTTTCTATGTTAGAGATCGGTATTTTAATATATTCAAAATCTATTTTTTTTTTTTTTTTTGACAAACTAACTTGCTTTCATTCATTCAAACAAGAACAAGTACAAAGAGAAGAGTTTAAGAAACCCAATGTTTAAAACATTACAACAAAAATATTCCCCAATGCCACAAAAAGAAAGATAAGGTTCATCGATTTTAAACCCATAAGAGCTTTGAGACAAGGGCTTGGAAGCGCATTGAAACCTGTGAGATCATGGTGAATCGAGAGATCATCCTCGAAGGATTCGAAGGACGAGAGATTGGTCACGGTCAAAAGATGTTGTGACGTTGACGAATGAATCAATGCTATGATTCGTAGCGGAGCGAGCTGCACTACCCATGGTAGCACAAAAACAAGGATTCGAGAGATTATGGTGCTATAGTCGATTGCGGATAGCTTTAAAACCAAAAGCGAATGGTTTAGATCTCTCCGATAAATCGCGACATAAACTTTGTAGCATAGGATCTGGATGATAGAGATGGTGGTGAAAGTACGATGCTTGAAAACGATAGATGAGCTGCTTAGTGAAAATAGGTCATTGAACAAAAGTAGTCCAGTACCACAAATAACACACCGGCAAAAACGTTTCGAGATAATTAGAACATAGGTCCTCAAGCCTTTGTAAGCATACCACAAGTTCCTAAGAACAACTAATACCAGGATTCGCACAGAATTTATGGAAAGCCAAAGAAACAATGGTGATAACTCTCTCACATGGAGTCCTCGACCACGGAGTAGAGGAGATCGACACAAACATTATATTGGGCTTAACATAGGAGTTGTGAAAACAGACCTGTGGAATCATATTACCCAATTGATAAAAAATGTGTGTGTTTAACGTTCTATATCGGCTCATTATCTGTCTATTAACATTTTGTTGGACTCATGTTAACATTTCTCTATGATTTAGGGAATGGGGAAGATGATTCTTATGTTTAAACAACATCGCATTCCTTGATGTCCAAGTTCTCCAAATCATCCAAAAAAGAAGTAATCGAAGATGCTTTAGGTTGTGTGAAAATTACGAATATGGGATTTTATAAACTTGAGGGGTTCAATTTGAAGTTTCGTCGTCTGTGTTTGGTAATGGGCTTCGAGTAGAATAAACTGGGCCTGAAAATGCACCCTTGTATTTTCTTCTTCTGAATAGTAAAACCTTTATTAAAATAAAAAGAATTTTTTTTGAAGAGTTTTGAAGGTCAATTGTGTAAAAGAAAATTGTTTGTTGCCGTCTCTTGAATAGAGCTTAAGAACTTCTCTCTCAAAAAGAGTCTTCGCTTTTCTTTGAGCAGAGCTTTGTCCAAAGATATTTTCTTTTTCTGTCGGCTTTGTTTCTTCAAATCTGGGTATCCTATCAGTGTTGTTTGTTGGTTTCTGGGTTCATCTTGATCTTATAATTCGGAAGATAGTCAAGGTTGTGTTTTGTTTTGGGTTCTTCTGGGTTTCAAATTGGAAGTTTGGTGGAGTGTTCGGTGTTTACGAGTTGTGTGCGGTGAACATCTTCTTTGGGTATGGAGCTTGATAAAGAAATTGAAAAGATGTCTATTGCTGAAGACACACCGTTGGTTTTATCCAATCAAAAGAAGTATAGTTCGACTGAGAGAAACGGGTGTAGTATTTTGGGAAGATTCCTCAATCCTCCTAATCAAAGGATGTCTAATTAGATATTGGACATGCCTAGAATCTGGCGGCTTTACTCTCGGGTTCGTGGTGTGGCTTTATCGCAGGAAAAATTCCAGTTTATCTTTAAATCAGAAGATGATTTAAATGAAGTGCTCAAGACCGGCGTATGGACGCAAGATGATTGGTGCGTGGTGATGGATAAATGGGTTGAAAAGCCCCCAGATGATTACTTAATGTTTCTTCCCATTTGGATCCGTCTCCGTAATATTCCGGTGAATTACTACACAGAGGCGACAATTAGGGACATCGCAAAGTGTGTGGGTAAGGTTTTAACAGTTGAGTTGGAGCTGGAAAAGTCTCAATCTCAGGATTACGTTATGGTTCGTGTTTTATTGGATGTTAGGAACCCTTTGCGTAATTCAAAAGAGGTTCAACTTCCAGATGGTGATCTGGTTTCAATCTCATTTGATTATGAGAGAGTCAGGAAGAGGTGTTTTCTGTGTCAAAGACTCACTCATGAAAAAAACATGTGTCCTTTTAACCAAGTTGATTTTGGAAACGTTTCGACAGAGGTAATTTGAGTTCAGATAAGCAGAAAGGATTAAGTTCCAATGATGGGAACCTGTTGATTTCAAGATCTTTGATTCAGAATCTTCCAGCTGGGAAGATGAAGGAAGCTGCAGATTTAAACAGATCTCAGGGTTTGGATAATTTTGAAGATGAGTCTATGGCTATTGACTCAAGGAAGGATAATTTGGTACTCTTTTCTTCTTCTTCTGTGTATGATGCTGGATCTTCAGGCTTAAGTGTTAAGAAAAAGAGTCCAAGAAAAAGAAAAGCTGTTGTGATGAAAAAGAATCCAGAGAAAGGGGCGGTCTCTGAAGGTGATGAGATGAGTTTTAATATCCAATTTGATAAAGTTTTTAAACGCAAAACTCTCCCTTCTGTACCAAAGGAGTCTACTTGTTTGAAGATGGATGACAATACGGTGGTTCATGAAGAACCGCCGTTGGATCAGTAAGGCATCCTCAGTTGGAATTGCCAAGGACTGAGGAATCCTTGGACAATTCGGCACTTGAAGGAAATGCGTAAAGAACATTTCCCGGACATTTTATTCCTCATGGAGACTATGAATACTGATGATTTTGTTTTAAAAGTGTTTAATTGGCTAGGTTATGATTATCTACATACCATAGAACCTGAGGGTCACAGTGGTGGATTGGCAATTTTTTGGAAAAACCACTTGGAAGTAGATTTTCTGTGTGAGGATAAGAATCTTTTGGACTTGAAGATTTCTCAAAGGAACAAATCTTGGTTTATCTCTTGTGTATATGGTCAACCAATGATGCATCTTAGGCCTTTGCTTTGGGAAAGACTTAGTAGAATTGGTGTAGATAGAAGAGAAGCTTGGTGTATGATAGGAGATTTTAATGAAATTCTATCTAATCAGGAAAAGTTAGGAGGGCCAGCGAGGTTACTATCCACCTTTCAGCCTTTTCAAGATATGTTACAAAGTTGTGATATGCATGAATTGGCGAGCTCGGGAAATAGCTTTACTTGGGGTGGCACTCGTAATGATCAATGGATTCAGTGCAAATTAGATAGATGTTTTGGGAACTCCTCTTGGTTTTCTTTATTCCCTAACTCTCATCAATGGTTTCTTGAGAAATTGGGATCTGATCATAGACCTGTTTTGGTGAAGTTTATTAATGATCAGGAGCTTTTTAGAGGACAGTTTCGATATGATAAGAGAATGGCTGATGATCCAGGTTGCATTGAAGCTATTAATAGATCTTGGTCTCGAGAGTGGGTTAAGGATTCTCAGTCTTCTATGTGCAGTCTTGTTGAATGCCGGAAAGGAATCAGTTTGTGGAAGAAAAATTCTGATTTTAATGTTCAGAATCGAATTAAGAGACTTCGTAAGGAATTAGATGAGCATAAGAGTGTTCAGTTTCCTTGTTGGGATAGAGTGGCTTCTATTCAGGAACAATTGGGGATTGCTTTTAGAGAAGAGGAATCTTTTTGGAGACAGAAAAGTCGGCACAAATGGTTAGATGGAGGAGATAAGAATACAAAGTTTTTTCAAGCTTCTGTTCAATCTTCCAGAGTTAAAAATTCTTTGAGCTTTTTACTGGATGAGAATGGGCAAGAACAATCTTTGAACAGAGAAAAAGGAAAAATTGCTACTGGGTTCTTTGAGACTTTATTCTCTTCTTCTTACCTCTCTAGTATGAATGGTGTCTTGGAAGGTTTTCAGGCTCGGGTTTCATCTGTCATGAATCAGGATTTGACTAGGAATGTTACAGAAGAGGAGATTCATAATGCTGTCTTTGCAATTAATGGAGAAAAATCCCCAGGGCCAGATGGATTCACTGCTTTATTTTTTCAGAAACACTGGGATTTGGTAAAGCATCAAATAATGGCTGAAGTCTGTGGTTTCTTTCAAACTGGAGTGATGCCAGAGCAATGGAACCATACTCATTTGTGTCTAATCCCTAAAATCAGCAATCCTCAGCGCATGTCAGATATACGGCCTATTAGCTTGTGTTCGGTGTTATATAAGATTATTTCTAAAGTCTTAGCCTCAAGATTGAAGAAGCACTTGCCAGGTATAATCTCTCCAACTCAATCTGCTTTTGTAGCTGAGAGATTAGTTTCTGATAATATTCTAATAGTGCATGAGATAGTGCATAATTTGAGAACTAATGATAGGCTTTCCAAGGAGTTTATGGCTTTCAAAACAGATATGTCTAAAGCCTATGATAGAGTTGAATGGGGTTTCTTACAAGAAATGTTGAAGGTTCTAGGTTTTAATGAGAAGTGGATATCATGGATAATGGGATGTGTGACTTCTGTTACTTATTCAGTCTTGATTAATGGGCAGCCTTTTGGACATATAACTCCAGAAAGAGGAATTAGGCAGGGAGATCCCTTATCTCCTTTCTTATTTGTGTTATGTACTGAGGCGCTGATTCATATTCTAAATAAGGCTGAACAAGAAAGAAAAATTTCTAGTGTACAGTTTAATCATGCAGGACCTTCAGTGAATCATTTGCTATCTGCTGATGATACTCTCTTAATCTGCAAAGCTACAAAAGAGGAATGTGAAGAACTTATGCACTGTCTATCCATTTATGGCCATCTATCAGGGCAAGTGATCAATTTAGAAAAGTCAGCTATAACTTTTGGGGCTAAGATTGAGGATGAAATTAAAGATTGGGTAAAATCAAGATCAGGTATTAGCATTGAAGGAGGTACTGGAAAATATCTGGGATTACCTGAATGTATGAGTGGGTCCAAAAAGGATTTATTTGGATTCATTAAGGAGAAACTTAATGCTAGATTAACAGGGTGGTATGCTAAAACCTTGTCTCAAGGTGGAAAGGAGGTACTGTTAAAATCTATAGCCATGGCTTTTCCAGTATATGCGATGTCCTGTTTCAAAATGCCTAAGAGTCTGTGTACAAAGTTGACAAGTGTGATGATGGATTTCTGGTGGAACACAATGCAACATTCTAGGAAAATACATTGGATTGGATGGCAGAAATTATCGTTGCCTAAGCATTTAGGTGGTTTTGGTTTTAAAGATTTGCAATGTTTCAATCAAGCGCTGTTAGCCAAGCAAGCTTGGAGAATGGTGTATGATAAAGATAGCCTTCTATCTCAAATCTTTAAAAGCAGGTATTTCTTGAACTCTGAATTTCTCAATGCACCTAATGGAACCCGGCCTTCTTATGCTTGGAGAAGTATTCTCTTTGGTAGAGAATTGTTGAGTGAAGGTCTGCAAAGAGTGATAGGCAATGGTAAATCAACGAGTGTCTGGATAGATAAATGGTTATTTGATGGTCACAGACGAAGACCAATGAATTCTCAGATTATGATTGATATAAAGCTGAAAGTGAATCAACTTATAGATCCGATTTCTCAAAATTGGAATCTGAATATGTTAAGGGATTTATTTCCATGGAAGGATATTCAGATAATCTTGAAGTTGCATCCATTACTAGATAGAGAGGATTCTTATTGTTGGGCTCTTACAAGTAATGGACTTTATTCTGTGAAATCAGGGTATGAATTGATTAGCAGGAAAGTGCATCATTCCCTTTTTTATGATGCTGAAACCAATCCATCTTTAAATCCTCTTTTTGTTAGTGTGTGGAAGATGAAAACTGCTCCAAAAATAAAAGCTTTTCTTTGGAAGGCTTTGAGAGGAGCAATTGCAGTAGAAGACAGACTAAGAACAAGGGGAATTCAGATTGAGGATGGTTGTTTAATGTGTCAAGAGGCCAATGAATCTATTAACCATATTCTATTTCAGTGTCCTTTGGCTAGGCAAGTTTGGGCTCTGTCACTTCTACAATCACCAGGGAATGGTTTTGGGAATTCAATCTTTACAAATATGGATCATGTCATTCAAACAATGCAGAATCAAGAGAGGCTCCAGCACTTAAGGAATGTCAGTCCATGGATAATGTGGTTTATTTGGAAGAACAGAAATAAACTTCTCTTTGAAGGAAATGGATCATTGGTTCAGAACATTGTAGATAAAGCGTATGAGGAATGCAATCAATGGAATGTGGCTCAGAGTAATGGGGTTTCCTCTCTGGAATCTGCTCAAACAGTATCAAAGAAATGGCTTCCGCCAAAAACTTCAGAGGTTAAATGCAACATTGGATTCGCGTGGTCAAGACAGAAACAGATGGCTGGAGTAGCTTGGGTGGTTCGTGACTCATATGGCACAGTGTTACTTCATAGCAGACGATCATATTCTCAGGTTCTCTCTCTCCTTGATGCAAAACTGAAAAGTTGGGACTGGGCTTTAAATAGTATGATACATCATAAGATGGATAATGTCTTATTTGGAGCCTCAACTTATGAGATTATTCAAGCTTTGCATAAGCCAGAAGCATGGCCTGCCATGTTAGGACATATAGATGATCTGATGAGAATCTCAAAAAAT